GTCCCAGTAGTTCAGTTCCAGCTCCCTCATACCGCTGATCCTAGACGTGAAGGTCCGTTGGACTGACTCCAGTTTCCGCACCGCGCCCGCCTTGAGCGGCACCCAAAGCTGGCAGCAGTATTCAACGAGGGCTCTGGAGAGTGTAATCATTGATGCTGTTTCTCTCGTTCGAAATGTCTTCCAGCTGATTTAACCCACCCGTTGTCTGCTTTGCGCGACTATTTCCTCGATATGGTCATCGAATGCGGCTTCGGCACTCGGCAACACACCGAGATCTTGAACTAGTTACTTCTCAATTTCTGTGCCATCTGATGCCAAGTAGCGATGTGGCAACACGGTCTCCGTGCCAACTCTGTATCTCATCACTTCGAACTTGGCGCCGTGGCATTACATATCATTCACTAGAGCCCAATCGTAGATAGTCGTCAGGTCAACCTGTAACCTCTCGTAGTCTAGGTCATCTCTGATCCTCTTCAGTAATCTTGTATCGTCCGCAAATGACGATGTAGATACATGGGTAAGTTCCGAGTCAATGTCGACGATGTGGTCGAGGAAGAGGATCGGCCCAGTGTGATGCTGTACTGTGGCGCACTCCGCATTTAGGCGCACCTTGTGCGCCTAAACCCCTAAACCAGCCTTGTGGCGCACTCCGCATTTAACCCTCGCTTTCTTTGATATCGAGTTTCCAATTGCGACAACTTGTACTCTTTTTGTAAGGAAGTTGGGTATCCATTCTAACAGGCTTCCTCTTTCCCCCAGCAGCCTCAGCTTTCTAAAAAGCACCCTATGGTCAACTTTGTCAAAAGCTCTAGCAAAGTCCTGGTCACTAGTTGGTGATGGTGCTCCAGTAACTGTGACGAACAGAATGGTTTCGCCGGAACCCATGTTGCCCATTATTATATAGTCCAGCCTCTTCCATATACCGGACAAGCCTCCTGACCACTACCTTCGCGAAAACCTTGATCACCTGCGAGATCAATGTCACAGGTCTGTAATTTTGGGGTCTGTCTCTCGGACCTCCTTTATTATTATTATTATTCCACGAAGAGATTGTCGTGGCGTCTCGTTCGGATCGAACTTCGAGGGCACGTTACAAGTGGCTAGAAAAGACACGAGAGGATAAAAACAGATGACGTCTATGCTAAAACAGAGGACATATGCCAAGACTGACGACGTCTATGCTAGGACAAACAACACCTATGCTAAACCAGTAATATACATAATAGATTAGATGACGGCTAGGTCTAAGATTCAAAGGCTCTACGGAAAAGTTCTGTTTTTAGGCGTCGACGAAACAACGGCAGTGAAGAAGCAGCTGTCACCGATGCTGGCAGACCATTCCATGTTCTGGCCGCAGCGACCAGGAACGCTCTGTCGCCGACTGTGGACAGACGTGAGGACGGTACGACGAGGTCAGCCTTCGACGAGGAACGCAGTCGCCTTCTAGAAGGCAGATCCGACACGCGCCGCAGGCCTTCAGCGAGATAAGGTGGTGCTAAACCTGTCTCTTATACACATCTAGATGTGTATAAGAGACAGNTTAAAAAATCCGTGGAATCTTGGTCGAGCGAAGACTAGCATCACAGGGCTTGGATCAGCCAAGTAGGGTGTTGATAGCCAAGGGTGGAAGATCGGCGTTATCAGTCTTTGTAGATCGGCGTTATCAGTCCCATTGTGAGGCCCGCAGGAATAATTCCCTCCATCATCGAGGATTTCCAGAGCATTGTGAGTGGTGCCTTCAGTGCTCTAACGCAATTCTTCTACAGCACCGCCGGAATTTCATCGGGTCCTGGACTGCACTTCAAGTGCCGCATTACAAAGCTCCTTGCAAATTATGCTAGAACATAGTGGGTTCTATCACAACACATTTAGCATCTTCCCTTGTTTTTATTGTTTCACTATTGCACTGGATATTTTGTTCAATTGGGTTCATGTAGCCGGTGCTGTATTGAACACTGAACTCAGACACTGACATCAAAACCCTGAGCTCGAAAAATTGAGCTCACATACCGCGTTAGAGGCTCGACAGGAAGTGATTGAGGATCTATAATGATTGCGGATCTGAGGATGACCTATAATGATTGAGGATCATAAAATTCCAATCACTGCTAATCACCTATTTTCAGCACATTTCCTCATTTATGGAAAAAATGCGCTATTTTTTAAGAATGTACGTGAAAAATTACCAATGATCCAAACTAGATCGTATCTCAATGTTTAAATCCCTGGAGCAGACTTAGAATTAAATCATTTACTTTCCCGTTACCTCAGAACGCATTTTGCCCAATACGAAGATTCTAATGCGGAACTGTCATGATAGTATGAGCTTCAGTATTAAGACCGAGCACTAACATTTTACGTAAAAATTCTGACGGAGCATTGAACTTATAATGATCTGCATTCCATCCAGCTTGTATTGATCTGTATTCTCTTCTCGGCCGTTCAATAGTTAAATTATAGTACGAATTGGACCTTTTGTCTTCTACTCGACATTGATGTTTGATCGTCGCGTTCATCGCCCAGCTCTCAAAGGACTTAAATCGCTCTTGGATTACAAATCCATGAAAATCATGGATTATACATTTGAATCTAATGGCAGCATTGATTATAAATTGCCTGACATGGATTACACACCATCGGACATCATGTATTACACATCTTTAAATCATTCGATATCATGAATTGGTAACCTGGTATATACAATTTATGCGTCGGCTGGTATCACCGATCACGCGCACCTGCATGCTCATTTAACGCCATTGCAGCACATATCTGCCACCTATTCAAACAAATCTATAATATTTATTGATAGAAATTATTGCCTCAGCGCTCCATGCAATAAGACAAAGCATGCATTTGGTTGTGTAAGCACAATCATATCTGTCCACAATCTGGCCGCGAATATACACAGCCCAATTACCCAGAGTGTTCGGTCAGCGATATTATGAGTACATGATTGCACTTTTGCTGGCTTTGACTCACCGTTTCGAGGATTTCCCTAACTTCAGCTGCAGTTGCAAACAAAGCGTTGTCACTGGCGTATTGGTTTGCCATGTTGTAAGTTGCAATAGCATCGCTTTTTGATTCTGAGTGACAATTTTTTAGAAGAGAGGCTTCAAGACATTTTCCATGGGATTCGATTTTCGAATCCATGGTTTTTTTGTAAAGCTCAAATGCCTTCTTGCAGGTCTCCTCGCATTTGACGCGTCCCTTTATCTGAAAAGGAAATGTAAGTTGTTCTCGAAGAATTTACAAGCTGGAAGCTCTCTTAAAATGTTTAGTTATGTATAATATATCTTGATAGTTAATCGTAAATTGAGTACCTACATATTATCGAATAAATGTGTAAGGTTTAAAATTCGTGGAAGACAGAGTATTTGGACAATAATTTTGTCAAGCTTAATACGCTGTAAAGTCTACCGTCCGTTGAAAAGATCTGATCAAAAGGCCAGTCTAGTCAAGAAAAGTACAAGAATCGGCGACAGGCCTATCCAGGCCTATTCTTTAAATGCCGAAGATACTATACTATACTATACTGTAAAATCTGGACTTCCATCCAATCTCGTTTACCTTCATTTCGTCGTTCTTCTGAACATAGGTCCCGTAGTGCTCTTCAATGTTCTGAAAAAATATTACTCATTACGATTGCAACTTTATTCACTTCCTTTAGTCAATTTTTAATCCACAGTTATTGAAGTATTTTGAAATCTCGTGTAAATTAAAGGAATATTATTCGTGAGCACAAGATCTGGCATTGCAATGCTACTCTCATAAAAACAATGAAACCTTAGATAGCTATAAATACATGGAAGAGTTAATAGGCTCCTAATCGGACTAGATTGTAATGAAGCTTTTCACGTATAATTTAGCTGATGATTGGCATTGTGGAGGTCAATGATGGCGAGGAGGCAGCATTGTGGAGTTAGAGGATGACAATGTCGGGGCACATAACCCAAGTATAGACGGTGTGTTAGCATCAAAATTTTAATGGGGTTCGTTATCAGATTAACTTAAAATGCAAATAATAGATTCTAAATGTGCAGTATTTTCATATTTTTGGTATTAACAATAAAAGCATGAGAGCAAATAGTTTTTTTTCAGTGTGGCTGTGCCAATATATGAGGCGGAAGAAGAAGGTGGTTCAGAGGTTGAATCCAATAATTATATCAACGTTTCTTTTCGAGGTTTAACCATCATTTAACTATAAGCAGGGCAAAAACATGAACAATGTTCGTTTTTCCAAAAAAAAACATGAACAATGACAAACATTAACAAAAACATGAACAATGTTCGTCTCATGTTCGTTGCACACAATGTAACATGTACTAGATCATGCTTGGTCATTTGAAATTGCCTAATTCTTCCATAAACATTATCTCTATAAAGTTGTCATTTCTCCTTTAATAATTATAAAAATCCAATCATAGTTATTCACCTATTTGTTTTTATGAATGTCGGTGAAAAATTATCAATGATCAAAACCAATTCGAATCTCAAGTTTTAAATTCCTGAAGATAACTTAGAATTAAATCATTAACTTTCCTGTTACCTCAGAACGCATTTTTGCCCAAGACGGTGAAACTAATGCTGAACTGTTTATAATGGTATGAGCATTTTATGTATAAATTCTAAAGATGTATTTAACTTGTACTGATCCGCATGTAATCTGTTAATTTCTCTTTAGCCGTTCAATAGTTAAATTATAGTACGAATTGGACCTTTCGTCTACTACTCGAAATTGATGTTTGATCATCGCGTTCTTCGCTCAGATCTCAGTGGACTTGAATCGCTCTTGGATTACAAATACATGCATATCTCATGGATTACAAATCCTTGAATCGTCTGACATCATTGATTACGAGTCGTTTGACATCATGTACTACCCATCTTTGAATCACTCGATATCATGGATTTGTAACCTGGTATATACTGTCCGGTATCAATTCACTTTACCTGATAGAGATTGAGGACGATCGCGGCTGAGCGCTTCTCCACGAGGCGCTCAGGCGCCAGCAGGCGAGGCACCAGCTGCTTCAGGTGCTCCACGAATTGCTCGGCCAATTCTGTTCAGAAAATTACTCGATTGAAGAAAATACAAACGATTCATCCAACTCAGATTCAAATCGTCATGGGATGGTGCCGAGTTACAATTATTGATTTCTAATTGATTTTTCCTTAAAGAAAATTAACGTAACGGTACCCTGAGGTCACAACATAAATTTTTCACTATCCAGTGCTACTAACAATACCAAATATGAAGTCCAGGAATAGATTTTTAGCGTAAAATATATATTTTTTCATTCAAGGTACACATGTAAAAATCTGTATATATCTGAGCCTGAAGAAATTAAATTATTAAAAACTTTTCCTCTGTTCGAACACCATCCCACGTGAAGCTGCCAGTTTATGCAGATCTGATTATTCACGAATTTGCTACTAACAACATAAACTTTATTGTCCCAGCGAGCTCACGATTTAGTCGACCATCAAAGTCTTCATCCTCGATGGCACGCAAGCCAATGTGCGGCATGAGGTAGCACTCCAGTTCCTCGAAACTTTGGCGGAGGCCTTCTCTAAGCTGCTGGTGCGCCGGCTCCTGATCTGCGTTTACCTGGTAATTGTGTTTGGATTAAAATGAGCATTGAAGACAATCGCTAATCTGTCACTTGGTGCAACATTAGTTGAAACATCGCATGCTTTTAGCTTCTATAACATATATATTTCTTCGAATAACTCGCTGCAATATTTGAGATGTTGCTTCCAATTGATCTACAATAATTTACATCAGAATGGAGTTTTTAAACTCGGGCTCGGGGCAAATCGATGTTTCACCAGTACAGAATAAGTGATGAAAGACCCTCCACATCTAGCAGCAACCGAAATTCTATTAATTCGCATGTATGAGCCGAAACAAAAAAACTGTTTTTAATGCTCTCAAAAATCTACTTCCATTCCATGCCATCAGAATTGGTCATTCTGACCAGTATGGTCACAAACCAAGCTTCTGGCGATCAATATTGTAACCAACTTACCTTCAAAACTTTATCGAGTACAGTTTTGCCGCCCTGGTGGCCGCATGGATACTGCTTTGGAGAGTTCCAGTCACGCACCAGGAAGAGTAGCTTCTGTATAGGAAAAATTTCGAATTGTAAAACTCTCTAATTTGAGGTTTCGTGTAATTTTGGTGATTAAATGAAGAGCGTCTGTGCACTTATGAATTAAAAATTAAACAATTCGAATCACACCGATTTGAAAAATGGCCCACACTGAAAAAGAATACACGTTTTCGTATTTATTTTAAAACCGCATAGAAAATTCACAAAATGTACTTCGCTAATACTAAAATACCGTAGACAATTCAATCATCAACAATAACAGAGGCAGCGAGAAACCAAAATGTTGTTTTTGAGAGCAGTGAGCAACTCAGATTAAAATTTCTGCTAACATACGCGTCAATTATAGTTGTCATTGCCGAAATACTGCCCTGATTACGTTTCAAGCGACTAGTGCCACCGTACCGCCGTGCATATGCAGCCCGTCCACGAACATTTCACTACTGAACTGCAGGCAGGACCGAGCTTGCCATCAAACGACGCTTTTCAGCGCCGTCACGATGCATTAACGCATGCAGTGTGCATGTAGGCAACACGAGAAAGCCAGCGGATTGGCGGGGTCCAGCTGCATGCATATTGGCTACATGGCTGCCTAAAGCAGTATCGTTTCGATTCGTCCGTTCAAAACTCGTCCAAAGTATAAAATACGAAAATTAAACATTGCATAGTATGTTCAAAATCCCCGTGAGATAAAAAGGTCATGTAACTAATAATCTATTTATGTTGTTACGATGTTTCACATTAGAAATCATGACACTGTAGCCGTTCTAAACGAGGTTCATTCCGGTCCTGAAGTGTGCAGTCTGCATGAGTCACACGCACCTTGCGGGTGACTACCTATCGTTCAGTTCAAGTCCTGGCTTCTTGCTTGGAGGGATGAATCATGTGCTCCGAAAATACTAAGCTGTGTGCTCGAAGCGTAAATATTTTTATAATTATCAGTTAAGAAGTGTTACACATTTCCAACAATCAAAAACTAAATTTGAACATTATAGGGGCAATATTGTAAGAAATGATTCGTGATCCTATCAATCGAAACCTGACTAAACTAGGAACATTCTTTCCTGGACACCTGCAGTCAAGGCACTGGTAGTTGTGATGTCTCAAGAATAGGCAACAAATTAGTTCGAACAGTGAAATCAAACGTTGTCAGAGATTAATTAAAAATTAAGTAGAAAAATGCGTATCAATATTAGGCTTACTAGATCTACGAACAACGATCTCAAAATTTTTATAAAATATACTTACCTGAAATGCGCAGGAGTTTTGGTTGGTGGAGTTCTGCGCCATGGTCCCGAAGGTGCAGAACGTCTGCAGGTTCATGAGGTCGTCCTCGCGGATGTTGTGCATCAGATTGTACACAGTTACGGAGGAGGTCAGCAGCGTCAGGGCAAAGATGAAGGTTGACTCCTTGAGGAAGTGGGACTAAATGAAACTTGCAGCGAAATACCGGCTAAATTATTTCAAGAGTTTGTTCCGTGCAGCAAAAGAAACGCCTTCCGTCATGGATTTTGAGACAAAGTATCTTCGGACTATTTGATAAATGGATCAGGTATGTCAGTGTTTTTATAGACATGACACTGATTTTGGCATTGCTGTGAAGCGAGTAAGCGGCTTTTTGTTAACCGTGCTTGCTATAGGCTCAGATACGCGTGGGTAGTAATAGCTAAAGTATGGCTGAAAGTTTTCACACTCCCTTTTGCCGGCTGAAAGCTTATACACGAGGAAAGTGTTTGGTAAACAGTATTTTCGCATCCGCAAGTGCCAGTGCGTCGTTGAAAGCCGTCGAGCGAGGTCGTACATGGTGGAATATAAGAACGTAACAACAATGCCGAGTTTGGAGAGGCGTTTGATGAGGCAGTTAAGGGCATTAATGTTGCCACTTTTGCTGACGAGCGAAAACTTTATAGACCAGCGTAGAATGAGGTTGAGAGACCTAATAGAGTCTTGTTTAAGTTTCAAAGCTCCATTTTCTCGTTTGAATATTCACTGTGACGTACATTCCGCGGTAGATCATATTTTGGGAATATCTATTTGAACAGTTCAATATCTTCTGAACTCCTCTTGACGTTCTTAGAACCGTCGTCGTTGGGACAAGACATAATTCATAACATTAGAAACACATCCTGCCCCATGCAGGATACAGAGCGGCACAGATGCGCCCACTACAGCTGCTGCAGCAATACTGCAATACTTGACTAATAGCCCCGTGTATAAGCACCTATAGTAACACCAAAACGCAATTAGCATCAGCTACTTGCATCTGAAGAAAAAAAATCATCACTTATTTGGAGTGCGAAAACTTGCAGCGAATACTCGCAAAAAAATTAATATCTTTAATTAGAGAATTGGGGAAAATATCAATTGTTTCATGGATGGGTATATTAGTAAAAAAATTTTGGCCTCATTTGACGTAGAATTTTTTTTACTAATATACCCCTCCATGAAACAATTGATATTTTCCTCAATTCCCTGTTTAGAGATATTAATGATCTTGTGATTGGTTTGACCGTAAATTTTTCAACTCTCTTTGAGGATTATCAGTTCTTAACTCGTTTTTCATATTGGCTTGAAAGTTTATAGACAGATTGGCGATGTTTCTTGGCTGGCAAATTGTCCTCTTGATTTTAAGCCAATATTCTATCACATATACGTCGATGACACCTTTTTAATTTTCAAACATCTCTATCATGTCTAACCATTCTTTGCTTACCTAAACTCGTAACATAATTCTATCAAATTTAGCATGGTGCTCGAATCTAACAATAGTTTGCCCTTCCTCGATTGTAATGTTACCAAATCTAATGGCCGTTTTTTGACTTCTGTATTTCGAAAACCGGCATTCACCGGTCTAAGTACCAGTTTCTTTAGTTTTTGTTCATTCCGATTTAAGTTGAATGGGTTTCAAACATTATTATACAGAGGTTTTCGCATTTGTTTCACATACCATGCTATGCACGCCGAATTTGAATTTGTATGTAATATTTTCTCGCTCAATGGATTTCCGGTAAGTTTGGTGTTTACACGAATCAATCATTCATGTCGAAACGATACAGTGAGGTGGCTCCCGAGCGCTATAGTAGGAACGTTATTTATTGTGCTTTTCCATACTTCGGCCCTGCGTCCGAAGCTATGTCAAGAGAATTAAAAGTCTTGTTCAATAGATACTTCCCAAATATCAATCTTCATATTGTGCTCGTAAACTATTTCAAAATCGGTTCTTTCTTTAGATATAAAGATATGCTAAGATATGCTCCCTGTTCATATGCGATCGTGCCTGGTTTATCAATATTGTGCACAATGTGCATCTGCGTACGTCGGGATAACGTATCTTTTTTCTAGGGTCGCTGAGCATAAGGGCAGGAGTTGTAGGACCGGACAGTTGCTATTGCGCTCCCCGCATTCGGCCGTGCGCACTCACGGCGAGCAGTGTGATGTCCCTGTTTCTGACAGTGACTTTAGGGTGTTAGCTTCCTCCTCCAGTACTTCAAATTTGCGTATTTAGTATCTTTGTATATTTTTAAACTTAGGCCCAGTTTGAATTCAGCTGTGTGCTCCTGTCACCTTGAAATTGGGAATAGATAGGTTTTTGTGCTCAGACTATTATTTTTAAATTTATGTTTTTAATTGCATTCTGAACTTTCAATTGTATTAATTTGGGACTTTCTATATGAATTCTAGATTCAACGAGCTGATGATGGAGCTGGACTCCAAAATGTTTTCAATACAGATGTGAATTTTTGTGGAATATTCTTTGCTTTTAAATTTTTTGAAAACTTGCGATTTAAGCGAACAAGTGACATAAATTCTTCAACAGCTTGTAATTGAATGATTCTGTTTTATAGAATCAGCAAAAGTTTTATAAAAAATTATCATCGAATTCAGTCTGACCTTTAGAATTTGATTTCTTCTGGGTTGACGAATTTTTGAAGTAAATTTTTTGAATCGATTTCAAATTGCTTGAATTCGACTTCGTATTCTTTAGATGTGTTATTTCAATCAAACACTCACAGCCAGGTCTCGCTTAACATATGACGATTGAATTTAGCGCTGATAATAATTTCTGTACTATTCCGATGAGATGTGTATGATTCATTATAACAGAATCCATTATTTTTGATTCTATTAATCACAATCAACTTGCATTTCAATGTAAAAGCAAAGTTTGCAGCGCCTATTCAGTTTCATTTCAACCATGTCGCTACTACATTCATATAATATTATATCATTAGTCAACTAGAGCAAGAGTGAATTGGTGAAATTTTATATCTAAACATGAGATGAAAATTTCATCTAAAATAATACATCACACGACTATTTGCGAAGCCTAATCTATGTTGATTTGTCGTGAATTAATAAAATCCCATGAGATTAATTTTGAGACGTGGGAAAAATATAGTCAGCGCCCATTTCTTCGAGCCGATGGTGTTTAGTCCGGCGTCAAAGGCGATGTTTCCATGCAATTTCTAATTTTAATTCCGTATTATTGTCCAGGTTCTCTCGTAGACCTTTCGGTTGAAAAGTTACGCACGGTTACCGAGCGGAGAAATTTAAAACTTTTCAATTATCACAAATAACGGGCTTCGAATCATCAAAAATAGTTACGTACTGCCTCCCGCTAATAGTTTATGATGTAGGATAAGGGATGACAACGTATCACTCATGAGGCTGTCGATTGTAGAAACAAGCCAAAAAACAGACCTGCATCGATGTTTGGCAGTCAAACGTTCCTTGAGTGTCCATGAGAATCACTGCCACCTGAAAAAGAGAATAATTATCTAATAACTGCTGCATATCAAGTTTACATACGAACGAACCAAATTAAATTATCGAAAGCGTTAACTGCACGTTTTGTCTACCATATGATGCTTCACTTTGAAATGCTGGTACGCTTAATTTCAGACTAAGCGTTCTGATTTTTCACAACAATTGAAATTTGCAAGATAGTCTAAAACGATGACGGTTCAACGTCAAAATGACTTCACTGTACTTCTACATTTTTCATTTTAAACTTTTAAGACAGTCCCATAAAAGGAAGCCTCGAGGGTAGTTTTTTGTCACTTGATGAACACCGACAAATGAAAAATTTAGCATAACCCTTGGCCTCATGTTAGCCTTAGAACCGAATTGGCCCAGTTTTCAAAGTATTTCTGTAAGAAATAGCCAAAAACAATTTTGAAGCATTCCACACCAAATTAATGCCCCAATCTACGAAATTTTGTTCAAATGTCCAAGAATATTCATGTCCATATATCCATTTATTAGGTACATGTATTAAATATTGCGCAGCCCTCCAAGAACAAAGCGCAAATCTGCGAACATATTTGTAACTCGCTTTTTCTCCGGTCGGTTTGGTGAAGACGAAAGGCTTGTTCCAGATGTTGATTCCGATGGTCTCTCCGTCAATGCCATCTCGCCAGGTGAAGCCTTCGAGTGGCAGCGATGGATCGCCTAACCAGTCTGGTGAGCCCTGGGCATCAGAATCTCGATGTAAAAACACCTTAATTATCTTAAAATTTCGTATTGGATCTGCTGCTTGTCCAATACACGTAATTTGAAAAAAATAAACAAATGAACTAGCACCAATGTTTGTTTTTATCCTTTTGTCTACCTCACAGAATTAGTTGATGAACAAATATTTAATTTTAAAGTGACTACAAGGTTTTATTTAAATTTCACTCGACTCCCGTTGTTTATGTTCAGATTTATTGAATAACAAATACGAAGCCGTGTTAAATACTCACTTCATTCACGCAGTACTTCACTAGTAAATTCATAAGGAAGCTCTTGCCCTGCCTGAACGCCCCCGCCACAGCCACCACACAGACGGGTTTGTCGCCCACTTCAGGACTCAGCAGAACGCTTCTGAGGGCGTCTTCGTCCAGCTCGAACTCTCGACTATCATTCTTCTGAACAACAATAGGCACAGGGCGGCCCGACATGATTGTCCCCCTATTGCTGAATACAACGAAAAGTGTCTTACTAACGAAATTGCTGCTCTGCGAAAATGAAGATCAGATAATTAACCTGTTAATTACCCTGATATTTTCCACTGTTAGCTAGCCTGTAACGTTGAGATCAACTATCGCCTAAATAGTGGACAAACTAGCGTCCACTATTTAATTTTAGAAATCGCCATATATGAGGCATGTTCTTCAGCGCCCTTTTCAGTTCTCGTGACATATATCAGACATGCGAGTGCCGTGATGTTATTGATAGATTTATTTAAACATAATAGCGCTGTGTAGCGCATTGATGGAAGAGCAGAGAATGCAAATAGAGAATTTATGACTATGTTTGGTTTATGATTTATTTTTGATGCATCAAAGTATAGACTTCAAAATCTGTGGTTCAAGGAAAGATCTCAAGCGCTGAAGGCAAGAGATCGGATACAGAAAGAGTAAAATACTCAAATAAAAAGTATTTAAATGAAGAATATAAATAGCTTAAGGTGTTGAAAAACAAATGAGCCAGGAATTATTCTTAAAAAGAAAGGCCATTATTTTACACGTTGTTAACCATTTAGCTGGCAAGTTATCATATTTGATCATTTAAAACGGTCTGGTTTCGGTTGTCAGTCTCGGATTAGAGATGATTCAGATGTGAAATGGCCGCATCTCATAATTAGCCGCCCAGTAGGAGCTATTTTGGGT